TTTTTGAAACCTTTAGGCAAGTCATAAAGGAACGAGAGGTACGGCCACTATGGACAATGTCTTGTGCAAAAGGATTTCCGTGACTCTAAAAGCGGGCCCCTAGGGCTTTAAAAAAGAAAAAGGGAGAAACCCCCGGAAAAAGGTTCAAATAAAAGGCCTAATGGAGGGGTTTCCCCCTTTGGGAAAATAAAACACCCTCCCCTTCCCCCATTTTAAATCTCCCAGTTCTTCAAAAAAAGTAAGTGTCATTTAATTGTGCTTCCCTTTTTTCAGTTTGTTTTTGTTTTAAAAATTTTTAACATTTTAAATTTTAAAAAATTAAAAAAAAATTTTTTTTCTACTTTTGGGCGTCTTGCCGGTTTAAATTTTATTTCCATTATTTCTTAGGGGGGAAAATTTCATTCCCCAAAACCCGGTTTATTTGCTTTAACCCTTTGAGCCCTCTTGCACGGTTTAAAAAATCTTTTAAACCGGGGGGGGTCCACTGTACTTGGGAGTTGCCCTTTTTGTCGGGGGAAAATTTGGCTTTTAAAAGGATGAGGTTAATCATGGGTTTTGATGGGGGGAAAAAAAGGTGAGTGGTGTGTTAGGGGTATATGTGGAGTCAAAAAAAAAAGTTAAACTATGGAGGCAAAGAAAGGGGGAAGGATGAAGTATAGTTGTACCCAAAATTTTTATTTGGGTGTAAAACCCTTTGGGGGGAAAATGCAGCAGCGAAGGGAGAGGGTTTGGAAAGGGAGTGGAGATGTCCTGTTTAAGGGCATGTGGGGGGGGTTTTAAAAAATTTTGCAGAAAAATTTTGGGGTGTGGAAAAATTTGGGAAAAGGGGTTTGGGGTTTTAAAAAAATATTTTTCAGAGGGCAGAAAAAAGGGGTTGTTTAGGTTTTGGGTTTTGGTTTATTTGAGAGAAAAGGATCAAAGGAATGACATGGAAAGGGATATAAATCTATAGGGGGGGAAGGCGGGGGGGGGGGGTCGGGCCTCGAAAAAGGGGTTGGGGAAGGGGGAAGGGGGGGGGAAAGGAGGTTTTGTGGGGGAAGGGGCTTGAACTTCCGGAAGCTTTCATGAGGGGTGTTAGATAGGGTGAATGGAGCGAATGGTACTTGGGGGCCTGGGCGTTTTGTTGGAGTGTGGGGGCAGGGTAATATTTAGTGAAGGGGTTCAGGGAAAAGGAAAAAGGTTATTTTCATATAGTCGGACTTTTAAATCCTGGGGAAAAGGGAAGGTTTCAATGCCTGCCCCTTTAAAAGGGGGGGGTTTGGGATATTTGGGGAGTTTGGAGGGGGTTGTTGTGTATCTTTTATGGTATGCTTCTAAACTGTTTTTATTTAAGCACCTCTGCAAAAACATGATTAAAGTGCGAGTGTGGTTGAAAGTGTTGAATGATATGAAAGTAATTTTTTTTTTGGGGATTTTCTTTTTTTTTTTGGGGTCCCCTGCCTCGGTGGGGATGGGTGCTTGTTGAAAAAAAAAAAAAAAAAGGAAAATTTTGTTGGTGGGAGGTTCGGCCATCTCGGGCAATACCCCCCGGGGGCCCGATTTGGGGCCCCTTACCCTATTATCTTTCCCCCCGCTTGGCATGATCTCAGACGGGTTTAAAATTTTTTTATAATTTGAATTTAAAAATATAAGGAAAAAAAAATAAAAAAAAAACCAAAAAAGGGGGGGGGGGGGGGGGGGGAAAAAAGCCCCGGGCCGACTTGTTACGCAATGGAAGGGGAAGGCACCATCACCCTGCCTGTTAAAAAATTTCTGTTTAAATTTCCCCCAGAAACATCGTACAAGGATAATAATTATACCAGAGTGTAGCCAAAAAAAAGTTCAGCTTTTTTTTGGTTTTAAAAAATAAAAAACAAATTTCGTTTTTTTTTTTCGAGTTTTTTTTTTTTTTCCCCGCCCGCGAAATAACCAAATGGGCCTTTGGGAAAATCACTTACTCCCAAAATAAATTTTTTAAAAATGAATAACTGTTTTCATAAAAAGTAAAACCCTGTAAACCCAAAACAAACTTTGTTTTTTTTTTTTTTAAATTACCTAACGAAACTCCTTTTTATTGAATGCACAGCAAAAAACCAAAAAATGCCATATGTACTGGACTTCAAAAAAACCATTTGGGCTTTAAATTTTTATTTGTTTACTATAATTTTTACCAAAGAAATATTATTCCTTAATTAATCTTAAATTTTTTTTTAAGCCTGCCCCTAATGCTCTGCATACAAGGGGGGTTTTTTGGCTGGGGTTTTCAATTAAATGGGGATTTCTTTTTTTTTTGGTTTTTTTTGTTTAAAATTTAAAAATTTAAATAAAAAAAATAAAATTTAAAAAAGAGGGGATGATAAAGCCCCATTTTTAGCAGGAAAGGGAAAAAAGGGGTTAGTAGGCCCAGTGAAGGGGGAAAGGGCCCGGGGTTTCAATTCCCCTGCACCCACAATAGGTGGTACTCGCCCTCCTTTAACCACAAACTTTTTGCCTCACATTCTTTTTCCTTTTACTTTTAAATCTATCCCCTCTCTCTTCAACCCCCCCCCCCCACTTCCCCTACTTGCATTAGTCCACCATTTGTCAATTAAATTTTTTATATCTACCCTAACTTCCCCCCCCTTAGCTCATTAAATTTCAAACCCCTTCTCTTTCTTACTGTTGCTTTTTTTCCTTTTGGCCCCCCTTACCTCTTACTTTAATTGTAGCTATAAAATTGGGTAATGATCCGATGTATCCATTGCCCCCCTTTTAAACAGGTTCACCTGATGCCCGGCCCCAAATTTTTCCACCCAATAATTCCCTTTCTTTTAAATTTCATTATGTGCTTTTTTTCAATCTTTATTTTTATTTAAATTTTCTTTTTTAAAAATTGTTTTATTTATTAAAAACCCCTTTCAACATGTTCAATTAAAGGCTCCCCCAAATTTTTTTTTAATCCTGGCACTCCAAATTTACCTACCACCCCCTCTACAACATTTTTACCCCCTTTTTAAAATTTTAGATCCCCCAAACCCCAAAATATCTCTCACTTGGTTAAAAAAATCCCCACACGTTTACTTTAACATTTCATTTTTTAAATTTTTTCTCTCTCTCCCCCACATTCATAAAAAACTCTCTCTCTCTCCTCCCCACTTCTCTCTTCTCCGGGGCATAAACACTTACTGTAACCCACTTTTTGCATCCAGCCCCTTATTTTACTCCAAAATTCTTTTAAAAAATTTTACTTTTACCCTTCCTTCTTTTTCTTTCCCCTTTTATCCTTCAAAATTATTGTAATCGTTTCTTTTCTCTACCTTGTTAGAAAAACCCCCTTACCCAATTTCCCTTTATTTCTCCCCCACCCAAAAAATTTTTCCCACCCCCTTCACTTTGTTTTACTTAGGGGCCAGGACATCCAGGGTTTTTTTTCAATTTATAAAATCACCCCCCACCTTTTTTATCATTCAAACTACATTTCCCCTTTTTTTTCTTTTTAGTAGGTGGTTATTTTGGGAAAAAAAGGGGTTTACTAGCCCCTTTGCTCCTGGCATTTTGGGGGAAATTTTACAAAAATGCATGGTTACAAAGGAAAGATTCTTATTCCCCTTCCCCAAAAAATGAAAGGAAAAGTAATAAGAACAAAGAACTATTAAAATAAAATAAAAAAAAAAACTTACCCCAAATGTGTATTTCATTTAAAAGTGTACTGCATGTGTAGTGTGACAAAGGTAAGTAGAAGTAGCAAGATCTACCTGAAAAATTGATGGTTTTGAAAACAAAAAAAAAAAGGGGACCAGCAAACCTACCATCATGTAAAATAAATACAGGCTTTCATTTTACACTCACTTGACAGTATGGTAGTACTTCTCTGGGCAGTTGTTGTCTACCAGCCTACTGTGTGAAGGTAGAAAATTGAAAGTGAACATTAATAAGAGTAAGGTGATAAGGGTATCAAATGATTTAGATGAAGAAAAATTGGATATCACATTGCAGAGAGGAAGTGTGGAAGAAGTAAATGTTTTCAGATATTTGGGAGTAGACTTGTCAGTGGATGGGTTTATGAAGGACGAGGTTAACCATAGAATTGATGAAGGAAAAAAGGTGTGTAGTGCGTTGAGATATCCTTGGAGACAAAAAATGTTATCCATGGAGACAAAGAAGGGAATGTACGAAAGTATAGTGGTACCAACACTCTTATGTGGGTGTAAAGCTTGGGTTGCAAATGCTTCAGTGAGGAGGCAGCTGGAGGCAGTGGAAATGTCTTGTCTAAGGGCAATGTATGGTGTAAATATTATGCAGAGAATTCAGAGTATGGAAATTAGAAGGAGGTGTGGAGTTACTAAAAGTATTAGTCAAGAGGGCTGAAAAGGGGTTGTTGAGGTGGTTTGGTCATTTAGAGAGAATGGGACAAAGTAGAATGACTTGTAGAGCATATAAATCTGTAGGGAAAAGAAAGCGAGGTAGGGGTCATCCTTGAAAAGGTTGGGAAGGAAGGGGTAAAGGATGTTTTGTGGGTGAGGGGCTTGGACTTCCAGAAGCATGTGTGAGCATGTTAGATAGAAGCGAATGGAGACAAATGGTTTTTAGGACCTGATGAGCTGTTGGAGTGAGAGCAGGGTAATACTTTGTGAAGGGATTCAGGGAAACCAGTTAGCCGGACTTGAGTCCTGGAAATGGTAAGTACAATGCCTGCACTTTAAAGGAGGAGTTTGCAATATTGACCGTTTGGAGGGACATCTAAACTCTCATATCTGAGCGCCTCTGCAAAGACAGTGATTATGTGCGAGTGATGGTGAAAGCGTTGTATGATGATGAAAGTTTTTTCTTTCTTTTTTGGTTGTTCTTTCTTTTTGCATCACCCTGCCTCAGTGGGAAATGGCCAACGTATTAAAATAAAAAATTATATTGTCTCCACTGCATGTGTATTTATGTTCACCTTTCTGTAGTTTCAATCTCTTGGTTGTCTCACCAACCTTGTCACATTCCCCTCATGGAATAACGTACACCCAGCACTGGGCATAGTTGTTAATTGTCTTTTAACCAGTACCTGTGGCTTCCAGTATTGCCTCTTATGAATCAATTGTTATCAACAGGTGACAGTGCCGGAGGTAATTTGATTGCAGGACTTACCATCAAGTGCTTGGAGCTTGGAATACGCCCAGCGGATGGTCTGTTTTTTGCATACACACCATTTGTCTTTGAACTTGTTCCATCACCTGCTAGACTTTTGGCTGTCATGGACCCTATGTTGCCTCTAGGTTTTGCTCTGAGGTGCCTTAAAGGTAGGTATTTTTTGCAAAGTGTCAATCCTTATACTCATATTTAACTTTTGCATTCCTGAATGTGAAATGACAACATGCTTACAACTTTTGCATCATATTTATGATGTATGAATTATCAATGTTGTATTTATTAAGCTCTTGTTAGAAGCATAAACCTTGCAAATTTGAGAGTTCAGGTATAACATGTTTGTTATGTTGTAATGAGAGTGTTTTGATAGGTATTTACATGTACACTCTCTTAAGCACTTAATTTGGTACTTTCATACACTGGAGATTAGGCTCAGGAAAATGTATGGTAGGTGGTGCATATCACCCTCAAGAAAAGGTTTGGTTTGAGGTTTTTGATGAACTTTGTGAGGATCATAATGTATACATTTTAAGGAATTAAAAGAGAGCTGAGTATGCTGCCTTGAGGTGCACTAGTGTTCATTCAAAATTCAAATTCAAAATTTAAAATATTATTTTCAAAACATTTTTATGTATATAAATGTAACATTTGAAAGTCAGTAATGTGCACAACCTTTTGGATAACTTAAACTAGGAGTAAAACAATACTAAAAATATTATATAGATGTGGAGTTCTTGAAACATATGAGTCCAGCACAAGATATTGACAGTAGGTAAATATAATAGTTTACAAGCAAATTTAAAGATAATTCAATAAAATTAAAATTATAATGACAAGTTAGAAAAGATTGAAATTACAATAAAATATTAGATTTCTGTAGATACCCAGTATGTACATGGTGTAAACATGATTGGACTAATTATTCTCACAGAACTTTTTTAATTTTCCCTTGTATTCATAGAATGTTAATTCTATAATTCATTTGGTAAATTATTTCACATTTTTGGTCCTTTTATAAAATTTATAAAATAATTACTGTACTAAAATTAGGGCTAATACTAACAGTATAAAAAAAAATATATATATTGGACATTGTATATAAAGTGACAGTATTATAATTCAGATTTTAGTGGCAGACATTAAATTAAAATTAAACTTCAAGAAAATTTAGAAGCCAGTATGGAGATATAATAATGGTGTAATAATAATACTGTGGAACCTCAGCTTATGAACTTAATCCGTTCCGTGACCTTGTTCGTATCTTGATTTGTTCATATGCTTAGTCAATTTTCCTCATTTAAATTTATTGAACAGCCATTAATCCATTCCAGTGGAATTCCTGCTCTCAGTGGCAGGAAAAATACACTTCAATATATTACTAATTTCAACTCAACAGCTTATTTATCTATCACAATTGATCTAATATGACATAATAAACCTGATGTATTCTCTAGAATGAATAAAATATGTCATTGTGTGACAAGTGGAGGCGGCCATAACCGCTCCCGCATTGTTGTGGTATTCACTACCATCTAGTGATGGCCTTTTGAAGCTGTCTATTATTATAATTATTGTCATAGTACATTATTATTATTATTATTATTATTATTATTATTATTATTATACATACGTATTATTATTGTTACATTATTATTATTATTATTATTATTATTATTATTATTATTATTGTAATATAGGAGAAGTGGTTGTGGTGGAGGGGATGGAAGGTGTTCAGGGAACTGGAACACAGATCCAATTCCCTAGATCAAGAGCCCCTCACCATGTACATATTATTTTTTTTTTCAACAAGTCGGCCATCTCCCACTGAGGCAGGGTGACCCAAAAAAGAAAGAAAATCCCCAAAAAGAAAATACTTTCATCATTCAACACTTTCACCACACTCACACATTATCACTGTTTTTGCAGAGGTTCTCAGAATACAGTAGACCCCTGCATAACAATATTAATCCGTTCCTGAGAGCTCATTGTTATGCGAAATTATCGTTATACGAATGAATTTTCCCCATAAGAAATAATGGAAATCAAATTAATCCGTGCAAGACACCCCAAAGTATGAAAAAAAAAATTTTACCACATAAAATATTAATTTTAATACACACAAACTGAAAAAGACATGCACAGTTACATGACACTTACCTTTATTGAAGGTCTGGTGATGATTGATGGGATGGGAGGAGGAGAGAGTCTTAGTGTTTAGAAGGGGAATCCCCTTCCAGTAAGACTTGAGGTGTCAAGTCCTTTTCCAGGGTTACTTCCCTTCTTCTTTTAATGCCACTAAGACCAGCTTCAGAGTCACTGGACTTCTGTCGCACAACATATCTGTCCATAGAGGCCTGTACCTCCCGTTCCTTTATGACTTTCCTAAAGCGGTTCACAACATTGTCAGTGTAATAGTCACCAGCACGGCTTGCAATAGCTACGTTAGGGTGATTGTCATCAAAAAAGGTTTGCACTTTAAGCCACATTGCACACATTTCCTTGATCTTTGAAGTAGGCAACTTCTTCAATTTCTCTATCCCCTCCTCCGAAGCAGTTTCCTCAGGTGTGGCCTCATGCTGATGAAAATGATCTAGCAGCTCATCAGTGGTTAGTTCTTTATTGTCCTCCTCCACCAACTCTTCCACATCATCCCCACTAACCTCCAACCCCAACGACTTTCCCAATGCCACAATGGATTCCTCAACTGGCATAGGATTCCCAGGGTTAGCCTCAAACCCTTCAAAATCCCTTTGGTCTACACATTCTGGCCACAGTTTCTTGCAAGCAGAGTTCAAGGTCCTCTTAGTCACTCCCTCCCAAGCCTTACCTATAAGGTTTACACAATTGAGGATATTAAAGTGCTCTCTCCAAAACTCTCTTAGAGTCATTTGAGTTTCTGAGGTCACTACAAAGCACCTTTCAAACAGAGCTTTTGTGTACAGTTTTTTGAAGTTTGCAATAACCTGCTGGTCCATGGGCTGCAGGAGAGGAGTGGTATTAGGAGGCAAAAACTTCACCTTAATGAAGCTCATGTCCCCACAAAGTCGCTCTGCCACGTCTGTAGGATGACCAGGGGCATTGTCTAACACCAGGAGGCACTTAAGGTCTAATTTCTTTTCAGTTAGGTAATTTTCACATTGGGGGCAAATGCTTGGTGTAACCAGTCATAGAAAAAGTCCCTAGTGACCCATGCCTTACTGTTTGCCCTCCACAGCACACACAAATTAGCCTTGAGGATATTCTTTTGCCTGAACACTCTGGGAGTTTCAGAGTGATACACTAATAAAGGCTTCACTTTGCAATCACCACTAGCATTGGAACACATGAGAAGAGTAAGCCTGTCTTTCATAGGCTTATGTCCTGGGAGTGTCTTTTTCTCCTGAGTAATGTAGGTCCTGCTTGGCATTTTCTTCCAAAACAGCCCTGTTTCATCGCAATTAAACACTTGTTCAGGTTTCAGTCCTTCACTGTCTATGTACTCCTTGAATTCCTGCACATATTTTTCAGCTGCTTTGTGGTCCAAACTGGCAGCCTCACCATGCCTTATCACACTATGTATGCCACTACGCTTCTTAAATCTGTCAAACCAACCTTTGCTGGCCTTAAATTCACTCACATCATCACTAGTTGCAGGCATTTTTTTAATTAAATCCTCATGCAACTTCCTAGCCTTTTCACTTATGATCACTTGAGAGATGCTATCTCCTGCTATCTGTTTTTCATTTATCCACACCAATAAGAGTCTCTCAACATCTTCTATCACTTGCGATCTCTGTTTCGAAAACACAGTTGAACCTTTGGCAAGAACAGCTTCCTTGATTGCCGTTTTCTTGGACACAATAGTAGCGATGCTTGATTGGGGTTTACTATACAACCTGGCCATCTCGGAGACATACACTCCACTTTCATACTTAGCAATGATCTCTTTCTTCACCTCTATAGTAATTCTCACCCTTATTCCTGTAGGGTTGGCACTAGAAGCTTTCTTGGGGCCCATGGTCACTTATTTTGCAGATAAAATCACCAAAAACACTGTAATAATACGAAATGTTTCGATTGTATGCTTGGATGTTACCTCGGAGGCTGGCTGGTAAACAATGCCACCGGCGAAACATGTGAGGCTGGCTCAGGCCGCACATTAGACGCGTCTCAGACAAATAGCGTTGAGCGGGTTTTTTAGCGGTATGCGAGGCAAAATCTTAGTGATAAAATGTATCGGTATGCGGATTTAACATTATGTGATGCCATCGGTATGCGGGGGTCCATGGTACAACAGTTTAGAAGCATATACGTATAAAGATACACAACATATCCCTCCAAACTGCCAATATCCCAAATCCCTCCTTTAAAGTGCAGGCATTGTACTTCCCATTTCCAGGACTCAAGTCCGACTATATGAAAATAATCGGTTTCCCTGAATCCCTTCACTAAATATTACCCTGCTCACACTCCAACAGATCGTCAGGTCGCAAGTACCATTCGTCTCCATTCACTCCTGTCTAACACGCTCACGCACGCTTGCTGGAAGTCCAAGCCCCTCGCCCAGAAAACCTCCTTTACCCCCTCTCTCCAACCCTTTCGAGGACGACCCTACCCGCATCCTTCCCCTATAGATTTATTTGCTTTCCATGTCATTCTACTTTGATCCATTCTCTCTAAATGACCAAACCACCTCAACAACATCCCTTCTGCCCTCTGACTAATACTTTTATTAACTCCACACCTTTTCCTAATTTCCACACTCCGAATTTTCTGCATAAATATTTACACCACACATTGCCCTTAGACAGGACATCTCCACTGCCTCCAACCGTCTCTTCGCTGCTGCATTTACCACCCAAGCTTCACACCCATATAAGAGTGTTGGTACTACTATACTTTCATAAATTCCCTTCTTTGCCTCCATAGAAAACGTTTTTTGATCCACAAATCCCTCAAGGCACCACCGCCTTTTTTCCCTCATCATTTCTATGTTAAAACCTCACCCTTTCATAAATCCATCCGCCGATACTCAACCCCAAGTATCTAAACATTCACTTCTTCCATACTCCTTCCCCCCCCAATTTGAACCCAAATTTTTTTTCTTATCAAGTCAGATACCTCACCCCTTTACTCTTTCTATGTTCACTTTAAAACTTCTCCCTTCACACACATTCCAAACTCATCCACAAACCCTTTTGCAATTTTTCTTTAAAATCCCCTAACACAATATCATCAGAAAAAAGTAACTGTTCAATTCCTTTTTAATTTTGATTCCCCAAAATTTTTAATCCCACCCCCTTCCCAAAAACCCAGCATTTCTTCTTTTACAACCCCATCTATAAATATATTAAACAACTAGGGGACACCCCTGTCTAAGACCTACTTTTACGGGGAAGTAGTCTCCCTCTCTCTAAAACCCCAAACCTACCTCACATCCTCATAAAAACTCTTTACAGCATTTAGTAACTTACCACCTTTTCCATATACTTGCAACATCTGCCAATTGCTCGTCAATCCCTCTATCATATGCCTTTCAAAATCCATAAATGAAATAAAAACTTCCCCTACCTTTTCTAAATACTTTTTCAATATACTTCAATGAAAAACATTTGATCTACACATCTCCTACCCACTCTAAACCTCCTTGCTCATCCGTAATCCTACATTCTGTCCCCTCTTTTCTTTCATTATAACCCTACTGACACTTTTCCTGGTATACTCATAAACTTTTTCCTCTAAAATTTTTTGCAATCTCTTTTGTTCCCTTTCCATTAATAAAGGGCTATACATGCCTCTGCCAATCCCTGGGAAACCTTCCCCTCTTTCATACTTTTTGTTAAAAAAAATAAAAACCACTCCAACACTGACCCCCCCCCCTGTTTTAAAAATTTCTGTCAGATCCCATCATTTCCACTGCTTTCCCCCTTTCATTCTACAAATGCCTCACGTACCCCCCCCACACTTATATTCGCTTTTCTTCCTCCTAAAACATGTATACCTCCCTAACCGTGCATGAAATTACCGCCCCCTTTCTTCCTTAACATTTAAAAGTTCCTCAAAATTTTTTTGCCATCTACCTAAACCCCATCCCCCATACTAACTCCCTACCTGTTTTTAACTGACAAACCAATTTTTCCCTGGGCTTTCTTAATTTTGTTTAACTCACCCCAAAAATTTTTTTTTTATTTTCATTTAAAAATTTTTGACAGTGCCTCTCCCACTTTTCATCTGCTCTCCTTTTGCACTCTCTCACCACTCTCTTTACCTTTCTTTTACTCTCCATATACTCTCTCTTTTTTATAACACTTCTGCTTGTAAAAAACCCCTCTGAGCACCTTTTTCTTTTTATCACACCCTTACTCACATTTCCACCAATCACCCCTCTTTTCCTCCCCCCCCCCCCTCCTAAACCCCAAACTTCTGCCCCCCATTCTAAACTGCATTTTAAACTATTCCAACCCTCCTTCAAAAACCCCCCCCCCACTCACTTTGCACTAGCCCCCCTTTTGCCAAAAGTTGCTTATATCTCACCCAACTTCCCCTTTTCCCTTTTTTAACACTTTCAAACCCCCCTCTTACTTGTTGTTGCCCCCTTCCTCTTTTTTCCCTCAAAAATCTTGCTTTAAATGTAACTACAAAAAATAAGATCCGATATATCATTGCCCCCCTATAAACATGTACATCCTGGGCCTACCCCCCTTTTCCACCAATCATAATCTAAAAACTATTTCATTACGTGCTACATCATCCTTTATATTTATTTATCCTCTTTTTCATAAAATATGTATTCTTATTACCAAATCTCTTTCTACACATAGCTCAAATTTAAAAGGGCCCCCATTTACATTTACCCCCGGGACCCCAAATTTACCTACACTCCCTCCATAACATTTTTTCCCACTTTACATTGAAATCCCCAAAACCCCCATTACTTCTCACTTGATTCAAAACCCGCACCATCACCCAAAATTTTTTTCCCAAAATCTCTCTCTCTCTCCCACATTTTCTCTTCTCCAGGGCTACCCTTCTAAACCCACTTTTCACAACAAAATTTTTTTACCCCCACAAATCCTTGTTAAAACTTTATAGTCCCCTTTTTCCCGCCAAACTTTCCCTTTAACATTTTTGCTACTCCTTCTTTAGCCTAACCCTATTTTAAACCCCCCGACCTAATCCCATTTATTCCTCCCATTGAAACCCTCCCACCCCCCTCAGCTTTTTTCACTTAAAGCCAGACATCCGCTTCTTCTCATTCATAACATCCACAACTCTCTTTCTTAATTTGCCAACACCACGCACATTCAGACTTCCCACTTTGACAATTTTCTTCTTCTTCTTCTTTTTAGTAATCTTTACAGGAAAAGGGGTTACTAGCCCATTGTTCCCGGCATTTTAGTTGACTTTTACAACAAGCATGGCTTACGGAGGAAAGATTCTTATTCCACTTCCCCATGGATATAAAAGGAAAAGTAATAAGACCAAGAACTATTAAGATTAAATCAAAGAAAACTCAGATGATTGTGTATAAATAAATGTGTACATGTATGTGTAGTGTGACCTAAGTGTAAGTAGAAGTAGCAAGACATGCCTGTAATCTTGCATATTTATGAGACAGACAAAAGACACCTATTTATGAGACAGACAGAAGACACCAGCAATCCTACCATCATGTAAAACAATTACAGGCTTTCGTTTTACACTCACTTGGCATGACGGTAGTACCTCCCTGGGTGGTTGCTGTCTACCAACCTACTACCATAATAATAATAAGAATAATAATAATTATAATAACAATAATACAATATTATAATAATACATTATAATAATAATTCAATATTATAATAATAACATGGGGAAGTGGAATAGAATTCTTCCTCCGTAAGCCATGCGTGTTGTAAGAGGCGACTAAAATGCCGGGGCTAGTAACCTCTTCTCCTGTATATATTACTAAATGTAAAAGGAGGAACTTTCGTTTTTCCTTTTGGGCCACCCTGCCTAGGTGGGATACGGCTGGTGTGTTGAAAGAAAGAATAATAATAATAATTATAATAATAACAGTAAGGAGAATTTTCAAAAGGCCGCCAGTAGTTGGCACCTCCATCAGCTAAACATTGGTAACCACTACTTTTCACCTGTCTAGACTTAAGTAGTCTATAAGTATTAGGTTAAGTATGCCTGAAATGCCTCTGCATGAGTGTGGCTTTCTTTGCTCCAATCATATTATATGTACACACACATTGTAACCTTTGCAAAGAAATAAATATATTATTTATTTATGCATTTATTTAAGGAACCTCCTTTGAGGGGGAAGTATGCATCAGTTTCGTTCGTATCCAGAAGCAAAAAATCGACCAAACGACGGTTCATATCCTGAAAAGTTTGACGTTTTCATATCCTGAAAAGTTTGCATGATGGGGTGTTCGTAAATTGAGGTTCCACTGTCATTGGGTGATATGATTAAATATATTAAGTACATATTTTTAAGACAACAAAGTTTTAATAGTGCAGTAACAGATTAAAAAATTTCTCTGGCAAAAGCATATGCAGGTGTTGCGAGTGGAGAAACTTCTCGAGTAACATCGCCTGGAGATGTAACTCTACCAACCCTCAGCTCTCAAGCATCCAGGATCTCCACAAACTCAGAGCTCACAGAAGGTCAAACAGAAACAGATGATACTCCAGCTTCACTTAATGTGCCACAAAACAAGTCAGGAGTGTCAGATACTCAGAGTGACACAGAGTCTTTTGTGGAAGTTTCAGAGAGCGATGTTAAAGAAGCTGAGGCATTGGTCAAAAGTCCTTCTTTCCTCTCAGACCCTGGATCTGACACCCTTACTACAGTATCACTTACATCTGAGGCTTCAAAACTAGAAGAGTCATCTACCAAGAATAGCAATGGAAGCGGGAACCATAAACCTGAAGAAAAAGAGGAAAGATCTAGAAGATACGTGACTGAATTTTTAGAAAAGTATGTCCTCGATTCTCGAACAGATAAACAGGTAAGTTTCTGATTTTATATGTCTACAGAGTGGGAATATTTTAATATGGTAGTGTTAAATAAATTTTGTGGGACAAAAAGTTGTTGGTATAGCTCATTTGCAATTCTATGTAGGCTTACTTTAATTCTAGCATATCTTACACTGTTGACAAGTCTATTCCTTTTCTACATTATTTTGCTTATGTAGAAGCAGGGGCTGCTTACCTCTTACTATATAAGTAATTATCAAAAAACAAAAGTGAAATTAATTTTTGGGAGAGTTACCTTATCTTGGAGAAAAATAGCCAGTATGGAAAAAGATAAAGATATACACATCTACCAGTGGCTAACTTAATTTTTTTTTTTCAACATGACAGCTGTCTCACACTGAAACAGGGTGACCCAAAAAAAGAAACACTTTCATCATCATTCACACATAATCACTAGTAGAGGTGCCCAAACATGACAGTTTAGATATTACCCCAAACAGCCAATATCCCAAATCCCTCCTTTAAAGTGCAGACATTGCACTTCCCACCTCCAGGACTTAAGTCCAGCTAACTGGTTTCCCTGAATCCCTTCACAAAAAAAAAAAATTACCCTGCTCACACACTAACAGCTTGTTAGGTCCCAAAAACCATTCATCTCTATTCGCTCCCATCTAACACACACACACATATGCCTGAAGCATGTCCAGGGCCCTTGCACACAAAACTTCTCTTACCCCCTCCCTCCATCCCTCCAAGTCATTTTATTTTGCTTCATCCTCTCTAAATGACCCCTCTTCAGCCCTCTGAACAATGCTTTTTGTAACTCCACACCTCCTCCTAATTTCCACACTATGAAATCTCTGCCTAATATTTACACCACACATTACCCTTAGAAATGACATCTCCACTGCCTCCAGCCTCCTCCTTGCTGCACCATTCACAGCCCATGCTTCACACCCATATAAGAGTGTTGGTACTGGTATACTCTCCAACATTCCCTTCTTTGCCTCCATGAATAACATTTTTTTGTCTCCATAGACACTCGCCTTTTTTACTTCATTTTTATGGTTAACCTCGTCCTTCATAAACCCATCTGCTGACAAATCTATTTTCAAATATTTGAACACATTCACTTCTTCCATACTCCCTCCAATGTGATATCCAATTTTAGTTTACCTAACTCATTTGATTTCCTCATCACCTTACTCTTATCTATTCTCACTTTAAACTTACTTTACACACCCTCCCAAACTCGTCCACTAACCTTTGCAACTTCTCTAGAATCTCCTATAAGCACAGTATCATCAGCAAAAAGTAACTGTGACAACTCTCATTTTGTATTTTTCTTTCTTTCAACACACCTTCCGTACACCGAGGCGGGGTGGCCCAAAAGGAAAAACGAAAGTTTCTCCTTTTCATTTAGTAATATATACAGGAGAAGGTGTTACTAGCCCCTTGCTCCCGACATTTTAGTTGCCTCTTACGACACGCATGGCTTACGGAGGAAGAATTCTTTTCCACTTCCCCATGGAGATAAGAGGAAATAAACAAGAACTAGAAAGAAAATAGAAGAAAACCCAGAGGGGTGTGTATATATATGCTTGTACATGTATGTGTAGTGTGACCTAAGTGTAAGTAGAAGTAGCAAGACATACCTGAAATCTTGCATGTTTATGAGACAGACAAAAGACACCAGCAATCCTACCATCATGTAAAACAATTGCAGGCTTTCGTTTTACACTCACTTGGCAGGACGGTAGTACCTCCCTGAGCGGTTACTGTCTACCAACCTACTCCTATTTTTATATTTTATTCCCTATAATTTAATCCCACCCCTCTCCCCCAACACCCTAGCATTTACTTCTTTTACAACTCCACCTGTATGTTAAACAACCATGGTGACATTACACTTCCCCCCTGTCTAAGGCCTACTTTACCTTTAAAGTATTCTCTCTCTCTCTCCTACACACCCTAACCTGAGCCTCACTATCCTCATAAAATCTCTTTACAGCATTTACTAACTTACTACCTATTATTATTATTTTTTTTTATTATCACACTTGCCGATTCCCACCAAGGCAGGGTGGCCCAAAAAAGAAAAACTTTCACCATCATTCACTCCATCACTGTCTTGCCAGAAGGGTGCTTTACACTACAGTTTTTAACCCTTTGAGGGTTTTGGTCGTACTAGTACGTCTTACGCGTAGGGGTTTTTGTCGTACTAGTACGCATAAATTCTAGCGGCCTCAAATCTCACAGGGAAAAGGTGAAAGCCTAGATGTGAGATAATGGGTCCTGTTGTGTGGTGTGCGCAGTAGGAAAAAAAATCTTGACCCAGTGGTTCAGTGGGAATCCATCATGACACAATTTCCACCCTTGCCCTGGTAAGAATTTCCTCACTCCTCCAATTACATTTTATCCCATAAATCTAATACTAAACTAAAATATCTTCAATCTGTAGTTTTACAACTAAATGACCATAAATTATAGTGGAAAGCCCACAAACCCCACCCTTCCACCTCTTGCTCCATCTTTTCACGTTCATTTACCAATCAAAGGAACCCATTCCAAAAACCCACCAATTGAGCATTGGTGATAATAAGATATAACTACAACCTCTTCAAACTGTTTCCAAAAAGGGAAAAGCAGGGGGAGGGTCAGAAGAAGCAAGGGAGGGGCTTTGGAAGAGCAAAGGGAACACAGAAGGGACAAGAGAGGAGAAAAAAGGGGGGGGGGGGAGGAGGAAAAAAGGGAAGGGGAGGAAGAAGAAATACGTTGTAAATTCTATTAATAATACATTTATTAATACATTAATAATAATACATAATAATAATAATAGGTAATAATAAATGTTCACCCATGACAGTAACAAGATAAGGGGAGATAACATCCGATAAGTGCTGACTTTTTGATGAGGGTAAATGAGGGTAGAGCTGATGCCAAAAGATGAGATAAACATCTCCCTCCCTTTTGTTTTTGCTGGTATACTAACATTTCTGTCTGTCTATTTGCCTGTCTGTCAAGCTCCTGCTATCCGTCTAGCTCTCTGTCTCAGAGAGCCACAAGACTGTGTCATCACTTTTACTCACATCTTCAAGCAGAGTATAGCACTTTGCTGGGTTCTTTGGGGTTTTCCCAGGTAATTTATACTATGTATACTTGTATTTATGTGTACCTGTGAGACAGAGATAAAAAGACAGATAGAATTAGGAGAAAGATAATTAGATAGAATGGAGGAAGGGAAGCAGCATCCGACCCCATTGTTTTGACAGGCGGGAGGGGGGAGTGAGTAATGAGACAATATGTCATTTTGACAGCTGCCGACTCTGGTAATTTACACTATGTAGGAGGAGGAGAAGGAGAAGGAGGAAGAGTAGGGGGAGAAAAAGAAGGGGGAGGAGGAGGAGAGGGGAAGAGGAAGAGTAGGAGGAAGAGGAATAAGAGGAAAGGAGGGGGAAGAGGAATTGTTGGAGGAGATTAGGGGAGAGGAGGAAGAGGAAAAGAGGAGGAGGAGGAGGAAGAGTAGGAGGAAGAGGAAGAGTAGGAGGGAAAAGGAAGAGAGGAGGAGGAAGAGGAGGAGGAGGAAAAGGAAGAGGAAGAGTTGAAGGAGAGTAGGGGAAGAGGAGGAAGATAGGGGGAAGAGGAGGAAGAGAGGGGGAAGAGGAGGAAGAGGAAGAAGAGGAGGAGGAAGGGTGGAAACTAGTACACTGGTACTGGTACACTAACATTCCTGTCTGTCTATTTGTCTGTCTGTCAAGTTCCCTGTCTATCTGTCTATCCGTCTAGCTCTCTGTCTCAAAGTCACAAGACTGTGTCAACACTTTAACTCCCATCTTCAAGCAGAGTATAGCACTTGGCTGGATTTCTTGGTTATCCTAGGTAATTTATACTATGTATACTTGTATTATGTGTACCTGTTGAGACAGAGATAGACAGACAGATAGCAAGAGAGAGACAGATTAAAAGAGATAGAATGAGGGAGAAAGATAAAACACCATTGTTATGAAACCATTTTTTCAATTCCACAAGCTGCAGAACAAAGGGAATATTTTCATGACTGTATAGGGGTATATATATTTATAGAACAAAATAAAAAACAATTTTTTGTTTGTTTTTTTTTTTAAAAATTTTTGTAAACAAATATTGATAATTTTTTTGTGTGCTTATTGTTTGTATAAAACAGTGTTATTTTGTACATTGCACCTTACTTTGGCTCATAGGCCCATAAGTTATGTAAAAAATAAAAAATGGAAAAAAACAAAAACCTTCAATTACAAGTAAAATAAAGTTTACCGGGGAGCGGCAGTCACCGCTGTTTTCCAACCGGCTCATTTTTTGCAAACTTCATGATTCCCTATCTCCAAGATTTTATGGAAATTTTTTTTTTTTTTTTATCCTATAATGTTTAGAAAAAAAAAACTATTTTTTTTTATAAAAAAAAATAATTTTTTTTTTTTTTTTTAAATTTGGGGGCCCACCCTGAGAACCGGGGGGGGAGGGGGTGTCGACCCTCAAGGGTTAAACCCGCAACATTAAAACCCTCCTTCAAGTGCAGGGACTGTACTTCCCCCTCTCCAGGGCTCAATCCAGCCCCGTTTCCCCCAATCCCTTCATAAATGTTACTTTGCTCACACTCCCAAAAGCACGTCAAGATTAACCCTTTTAGGTCGACAGGCCCTCCCAAAACTCGTTTTCAGGTCGGCCAAATTTCAAAAAAAAAAAAATTATTTTTCCTTATGAAAAAAAAAGTTTTTTTTTTTTTTTAAACATTATAGGGAAAAAAAAAAAAATTTTACCATCAATACTTAGGAGATATGGGTGCATGAAATTTGCAGAAAAAGAGCCCTATGGCAACAGCGGCGCTGGGGCCCCCCACACCGGAAACTTGATTTTTCTTGTATTTGAATTTTGTTGTTTTTTTCACTATTTTATTTTTTCACATAAATTATTGGGCCCAAAGACCAAAATAAGGTCAATGTACATATATACACTCGTTTTTATACAACACAAAAAGCAACAAACAAAATTTTCAATATATTGTTTTCAAAACGGTTTACAA